AAAAGGCACCCCGGGTCGAGTATAACAAAGTCCCTGGTCGAGAATAACAAAGTCCCTGATCGAGAGTAAACAAAGTTCCTGGTCGAGTATAACAAAGTCCCCTGATCGATTATAACAAAACCCCGGATCGAGCATAACAAAGGCCCCTGGTCGAGCATAACAAAGGTCGAGTATAACAAAGTCCCCTGATCGAGCTGTGCGGGGTGTACTCGAGACGGCAGGCGGTGGAGGAGGCACAGAGGTCGACGAGTTGAGACTGGAACAGGTGGTGAGAAGACACTGAGGCATACCTAGGGGAGATGAGGTGACGTGTGAGGAGGCGTTGTCTGAAGGATAGATGAAGAGGCTGAAGCTGGCGAATTGGTTGTGGCAGCTGGTGAAGTCGTCCTCGTTGGCAATTCCAATAGGTCCAGGAATTTGCGGTTATCAGCGGTGTTGTTGTTGAAGTTGAAGACGGTAAGCTGATTCCTCTATGTCTTGACAATTCCTCTTGACGTCGTTTTCCTCCTCTAATTGACGTCTTTGGGCTTCTTCTCTTGAAAACTTAGTGGATTAACCGACGTATATCCTGGCTCCCATCCTTTGATTTAGCGCGCCCGGCGTGTAGAGGCGTCGTCTTCCTCAATCCTCATATAAATTTCCCAGCAAATCGTCGTGGTCAGACATCGTGTTTGGTATTGTTGCGATGGAAGACAAGAAAATGGTGAGGAATGCTATATTTTCGCCAATGGATTTGCTAAGTGCAAGAACTGGCTGGCAAGTAAAAAGTACGTAATATTTGTGAAGTGAGAGGAGGCGGCTGGCGGCGGTGTATTCTCCGCGCGCCCGGGCGAGATGCTGGTGATGACTCAGTGGAGGGAGGGAGTCAAATCAGTGGCTTGCAGGCCTGCGTGGATGGAGGATGTATGCCGGAAGTGCTGTCTTGGAAACTGGGCTGGAGGCGTGTCTGCTACCTGTAGGCCGCAGAAACATAGCAAAGAGACATGAAAGGCACTGCACTTCACTTAGGGCACTTCACAAGGTCACAAAGCACTTTAAACCAGGGCACTGTGGAGTATATCTTCTGGCGGGAAACACGAGGCCGGGAAACAGACGGGGCCGGCTCTTGAGGCTTGTAAACTGTCGTGTTGGAGCTACTCAAACTGCGCCATGTGGTGGGATGTAATCCCAGACAAGGTTCTTGAAACTCCAGGGCACGAGCAGTAGATATATTCAATAAGTGTACAAGACTTGGGCGTGATAGCCAACCGATACAGGAGCGATTACTAGGACCCCGGACCGTGTAGGCCGGAGCTGATCTGAGGGAAATTAGCTAGCTAGGCAAGGAGAGTTGCTGGTTACCTAGGACAAAATGGGGTCTCTAATTACTGACTAGCGGTACAGACATAGTACATCGGGACATAGTAAATGAACATAGGCATTAGACATAAGCATAGACATCAGACATGCTATAATAATATGTAGTAATACGGACATGTGAATAAATGGTACAATGAATGGTAACAAGAGTCCTGGCGTCAGGCGTGTTCACATATCTTGGTATGTACATATCTATACAAGTATAACAAAGCCCCTATCGAGTATAACAAAGCCCCAATGATCGAGTATAACAAACACCCCTGATCAAATATAAAAAGTCCCCTAATCGAGTATATCAAAGCCCCCTTGTCGAGTATAACAAAGTCCCCTCATCGAGTATAACAAAGTTCTTGATCGAGTATAAAAAGTCCCCTCAAATCGGGTATATCAAAGGCCCCTGATCGAGTATAGCAGTACCCTGATCGAGTATTACAAACTCCCCTGATCATGTATACCAAAGTCCCTCACCGAGTATAACAAAGTCACCTGATCGAGCATAACAAAGTCCCTGGTCGAGTATATGATGGATGATGATATATGTAGTGATGATGGGTGGTGTTATATGTAGTGATGATGGATGATGTTATATGTAGTGATGATGGGTGTTGTGAAATGTAGTGATGATGGATGGTGTTATATGTAGTGATGATGGATAGTGTTATATGTAGTGATGATGGATGATGTTATATGTAGTGATGATGGATGTTGTTATATGTAGTGATGATGGATGGTGTTATATGTAATGATGATTAAACAATATAATAAAAACAGTTTAATGCTAAAAATATATACTATACTGTACCGTTGTCGTGAAAACATGGTGGAACTTATATACGCCGTTAATGAACTACTAAGGGAAGAAGAAGTTTTGAGGACTGAACAGTGAGACAAAGTGGAGCTTCGAGGGTGTGGCCCTACCATGGCCCAGCGAATAAGCCGCCCGGCCAAATTTGGCATGGATAGCAAGTGTTTCCTTGCTTCTCTCATGGACAGTTCTATGTTGATGCTCCAGAGGAACTGGCAAAAATCTGTACAGACTTGCTGCTAATGGCAATACCAAAAATGAGGTCACCCTAATGTACTACAGTGAGACAATGTGAGCCCCGTAGGGTGGCGTCCTACTGTGTGTGTCCACACAAGAATCAGGGAAACTAGTTTCCCAATCTGTAGTGATGATGGATGGTGTTATATGTAGTGATGATGATATTGTTATATGTAGTGATGATGGATGGTGTTATATATAGTGATGATGGATGATGTTTCATGTAGTGATGATAGGTGGTGTTATATGTAGTGATGATTAGACAATAAAATAATAACAGTTTAATGCTAAAAAAATATACTTTGCTGTACCGTTGTAGTGAAACATGTTGAACTTACATACACCGTTACTGAACTATTGATGGAAGAGGTTTTGGGGACAGAACAGTGAGACAATGTGGAGCCTCCCGGAGGGTGGCTTCCTACTGCTGCCTAGCAGATGAGAGCGATTCTCATAATATATATATATATATATATATATATATATATATATATATATATATATATATATATATATATATATATATATATATATATATATATATATATATATATATATATATATATATATATATATATATATATATTGTTGCGAACCACGCCATCAATTGTCTTGATCTACCTACCCAGCAATTACGAACCACGCCATCTATTGTCATGATCTACCTACCCAGCACCACGAGCAACGCCTTCTAGGGACGAAACCCGAATATGACTAGTCCAGTTACTTCACTCTCGGGGTTTCTCTTCCATATCCTGGTTGTTGCGTCACCTCCTCCAATTCTTCCTCATCAGCCCCAGTTCGATAAAAGTTCAGTTCTCTGGGAAGTGACCACAGGATCACCTATCCGGGAAACCTACGGCGCAGTGACTACCTACCGTCTTCTACCAATACTTTACTCGTCAGCCATCTCAGCTCCGCACTTAAGTATTTGTTATTTTATATTGCCTCCCGTGTCCACTTGCTTCCAAAATTGTTGTATGTTGTATAAATATGTATATACTGTTAATGTTTAGGTTAAGTATGGTTAAGGTAAATTATAGAAAGCTGAATATTTTGTTAAGGAATTTATAGTGTTTTATTATACACAACAAAACTCTCATCCCTGCCCTTTTTATCAGATTGTCTTTGTTTTTTTATTGTTGTTGTTGTTAGATCTGTAGACTTTTAACTATTTCTAAATCCCCAACTCATATATATATATATATATATATATATATATATATATATATATATATATATTTATATATATATATATATATATATATATATATATATATATATATATATATATATATATATATATATATATATATATATATGTATATATATATATATATATATATATATATATATATATATATATATATATATATATATATATATATATATATATATATATATATATGTATATATATATATATATATATATATATATATATATATATATATATATATATATATATATATATATATATATATATATATATATATATATATATATATATATATATATATATATATATATATATATATATATATATATATATATATATATATATATATATATATATATATACATATAAATATATATATATATATATATATATATATATATATATATATATATATATATATATATATATATATATATATATATTTTATATGTTACGAGTTGGGATTTAGAATATAGTTAAAAGTCTACCCAGATCCCCATTAGAGGTTCAGACGCCATAAGCTCTTGAACAGGCTTTGTGTGAAATATGTCTAGTACTGCTTTTAGTATCCTTTTGGTCCAGCGGTTAAGGCTTCCCGGTCACAGTCATAGGCTTGTGGGTCGGGTTCGAATCCTGGCGGGTTGAGGTGTTGATTATATACATATATATATATATATATATATATATATATATATATATATATATATATATATATATATATATATATATATATATATATATATATATATATATATATATATATATATATATATATATATAATCAACACCTCAACCCGCCAGGATATATAAATATATATATTTTGATAAAATCACACAGGGAAAAGAGAAACAATGGAGTACCTTAGCTTTCGTCTTTATTGAAGACATCTTCAGAGGCAACTGAATTTCATGGACAGAGAGAGGCTTAAGTACACAGGGTGACCTTACTTAACATGAGGTCATATCATAAACATGACATCCACTAATCCGCGAGTGTAGGACAAAAGACCCCCAGGAGAAATAATAGGAATTTTTAAAATAATTATTTAATTTTTTTACAGTTTATGAACACTTCTCTAACCCAACCAAACCTAACCTAACCCAACCTAACCTAACGTAACCCAAACTTCGGGAATTCTGTTATAGTTATAAAAAAGTATGCAAGGAATGTTTATTAAATCTGTAATGACGTATGGTTTGTCTACTTGGGTAATTACTCCCCTGACATTCAGTGACCTCACTGGGCCCAAGGGTCACCTCAGTAAATACAGAATGATTATGAAGGAACATATGTCGTCTTTTTTCTTTTCTATTTATTTAATAATGTTCTATATCAAAATTGAAAGAGTTATAATATTCTAATTATTTAAATTGTAATAATTTAATATTTAAATCCATATAATTGTAATATTTCTAATGACTCTCTTTAACATGAAAACAGGGGACTTCTGTCCTATTTTGCACTTTTACTGAGGAGCTTTTGTCCTAGGGGGTTTTGTCCTCGGGGATTTTGTCCTAGGGGGCTTTTGTCCTAGGGGGCTTTGTCCTAGGGGGCTTTTGTCCTAGGGGGCTTTTGTCCGGGCCCCCTAATCCGCACGCCAACACCACCACACACGCAAAGAAGCTTAAGAGAAAGGGCGACGTGACTAGTCAAGTTAAATCATGTCAAAAATATGGGACCCACTAATCATCTATCCTACATCTAACTCCAGTGCTGGGTTCTCTACACTGTAGTGCTTCAATAGCACATCGAGAGTCAGTGTGTATTGGAACGTATTGTTGACTGTTTATGGAAACGTGTCGTAGGACTCCATGTATGGCAGCTAGCTCTACTTGTAAAGTGGAGCAGCCATTTGAAGTTCCCGAAAGGACCGTGTCACCCCCTTCTATGATGAATGCTGCTCCTGACTTCGTATTGTTGGGTTCTACGGAACCGTCTGTGTGATACAGTGTACTATTGTGCGTTGTTACAGTTTTCATGTTTCTTTCTGCTACCTGTCGGAGCTCGTGTGGGTTTCAGTCGGCCTTTCTTGTCCCAGCTTTTATAATATTGAAGACTGCTGGGGGGTGACTCCTACAGTGCTGGAGTACTGTAGTCTGGACTAACTGTGTCAGGGCGTTCACTAAGGATTGTTATTTCAGTCTCAGTCGATTCACAATGTCAGCTGCACACAGTAGCCATGTGTTCTTATCAAAGACATCTCTGTCAAGGCTGAGGGCTCTTAGGAGTTCATTATTGATGTAAATTTTCCATGGAAGCGTAATGTGTTCTCTAATGGTGGACCCTGCTGCCATATGATATCAAAAAAATTGTGACCAAGTCCCAGGTTGCTGATCTGACTTTCTGCCTCATTTACGCACAATTACAGGGTTTCAATTGTTGCTCTTACTTTGAGAACACAACATACATAATGCATATCGTTTCTCATTCCTGATTTATTTTTTCGTTTTTGTATTTATTTATGGCTATTATTATTATTTTTATTATTTTATTTTAAATTTTATTATTTTGTTATTATTTGTTATTAATTAATATTATAATAATAGTTATTATTATTATTATTATTTTTTTTTTTTTATTTATTGGGCACTCTCCTACATTATTATTATTATATTTTCGCCCCATAGGCCCTGATGTGGGTCAGTGACCTGCGCCCGGGTGGGCTATTCCTTGTACAAAAAAAAATAAAAAAAAAGATGAATAAATGAAATATAATAAAAATGTGCAGGTTTTCAGTTCTTGTAATTATTGTCCATATTGGTGCCTTGACAATGATTCTCACAGTGTTGTTCTGAGCATCCTCTAATTTCTTCCATTCGCAATCAGACAGTGTGTTAAGAGCCGGTGCTGCGTAATCTGTTTATGATCAAATGGTGTGTGTATATACAGCGTTCTCAGGACTACATGGCACGCACTAACCTTGGGTCGATTCATAGCTCCAATCATGTGGACTCTCTTACCCAATCGTTCTCTTAGATAGTGTATCTCTTTATCAAATCCAGATGCCCAAGTATTTGTAGGGCAGTACCTTGTATTCACAGGTGTGTCACCGGATCATTGATCCAATCTTCATGGCTTTCGATTATAGAATTGACATCTTAAGCCCGAGACTCATACATTCTTTATTGATGAGGCTTAGTGCCCTTTGGGCTTTGGTGATATGATTTTTGCCTTTTACCACGAGTGCTAAGTCATCAGCATAGCAAAGCATAGCAGTCTGGTACCTTCTTGAAAGGGGAGCCAACATAAGTTTTCCTTGATGGATGTTGAAGTGAGTTGGACTAAGAACTCCTCCTTGAGGGGTGCCATTTTCCAGTCTTTGGAATTCTGAAAGTTGTCTTAGACAAGTAACTCTTGCTGATATATTTTGGAGATAGTCAGCAATCTAAGCAAGTAAGCATCCATTGACGTCTTTCAGACCCAGAATGGTTACAATGGCCTGTGCATTCGCCAACTCAAATGCCTTTTCTAGGTCAAGGAAGACTAAAATTGCATTATTTTGACCAATCGATCCCAGAAGAGTGGCCAAACTGTATGCAGTGCTGACACCTTTGGTGAAGTCAAAGATGTTGTGGTGAAGTGGTCAATTTTTCAGGAGGAGTCGTGTAAGAACCATCCTTTTGTTTATTTTGCCAATGCATGCTGTGAGTGATATTGATCTTAAAATCGGGGGATCAGTGGGTTTGGAATGAGAACGATGTTTGCCCTTTTTCAAGCTCTCGGGAGTCTGCCTGCTCACCAGCAGGTCCTGCGTTGCTGAGCAATGAATAAGCCATACCATCACTGCCAAGGGTGGTGTCTTTGGTTGGTGCTTGGCCCTTCTGATTTCCTTTGTGGTAAATAGACAGTCTGTGGTATCAGTTTCTTCAAGAGCTTGTTTGAATTCTTTTCTCTCCAGTTGTACTTGCTGTAGATGAATTCTTACTTCAGGAGGTAGTGAGCTGACGACTAGCGCTCTGCAAAGTGCTCTGCCAAAAGATTTGTTTTCTGAAGTGGCTGGGGTGTGAGCTGGTGCTCTGGGCGGTCTTCCTGTTGATGTCCTGAGTTTTTTTCTCCAGAGTTCATTCAAGTTGATGTATGTATTAAAGGTTGCACACCACTCGATCATTTGACGTCCTTAATTTTCTGATTAATTTGACGAGGTTGTTGGACCACAGCTCTCAATAGTCTCGCTCCTTCAAGGGAAGGGTACTGTCGGAGATGTCTTCTGAATTTGTTGATCCTATGATTCTGTTCCCTGACCTCGCCAGTGTAAAACCAGTAGTCTCTTTGTAGGATTTGTTTGTTTAGTTGCTTTATCTGCTGCGTCGTGTATGGCATCAGTGAGGTTCTAGTTTTGTTGGTCAATGTCTTCTGATGGTTCACAGTTCAACTACCATTTTTGTAGTTTATCTTGAAATACTTTCCTATTGGCTTTCTTCGTATTGCACCTGGGTGGCGAAACTGGCGGAGGAGGGAGTAGCTCCACTCTCAAAGTTGTTGCCGTTGCGAAGTGGTCGCTGGTTAGTTCAGCGTCTATCTCAAAGTGGGCTATTGGAACGAGCTCAGTGGAGATGAATGTGAGGTTCAGTCTGACTTCCAGTATGTGTGTTTGTTCCCCAGTATCAAGGAGAGTGATTTCTGTAACACATGTCAGCAGTTCCACTAGGTGTTCACCATCCTGGTTCGTTCTTGAAGTCGAATTGAACGTCGGATGGTGGGCATTGAAGTCCTCTGCAATGAGCACAAGTTCCTGTGTTGTTAGAGACAGTAGGTCACCAGCGTCTAGCCGGTTATATACTACAATATTAAAATTTTTCAGATGTTGCCGATCAGCTTGCGCCTCCACTCCATCTCCACAGTGAACAGGTTCTACTACTGAGGTGGGAATGGGCGCCCTGACGAAAATCATGCTGCCATTGTCGTTTTGCTACAGAGTATTGTTGATATCCAGGTAGGCCGATTTGTTTATCTTTCGACCTGAGAGTTTCTTGTAGAATGAAGACATCAACATTTTTGGCTATGGTTGCTGCCTGTACAGTATGCCGTTTGTTGGTCAGGCCTTGTATAGTCACGTTGATGCCTTCTTCTTTCCGTGGCCTCCTGTGATATTTTCCCTTCATGAGTTACTTCTCTCTCGCTCGTATTTATATTAATAAACTAGCAGTGAAAACTTACTACCCTACCTAGTTCCTCGTTGCCCTAAGACCAGTACCGTACCCTCCCAACGGGGGTCGTAGGCTGGTGGCTCTGGTTTTGCAACAGGACCCCAAAAAGAGGAGCCTATTCTACCCTATCAGCCCAGCTCACACCCCTCTAATGGGCCCCTTTGTGGCCCATCCTAAAGACAGTTCCCGCAGGGTTCGTTATTTCTGGGAGAATCGATGAAGACACTAAGAAATTTGAGCCAAAAAAAAGTAAAGTCAACAGAGACGAGATATATACGTAAAAGAGAGAGTGACCGTTGTGGCGACACTTAGTCTGGTTAGATGGTAACACGTGAGTCGGGATTCGTTGCAGTTTGCGTCTTCTCACCTAGCTGTTCAGCTGTTCTCTGTGTGGCGTATTAGGGTTGTATCCTGGTATAGTTACTGTGGGTTGCTTTCTTAGAGCTGGATTCTCGTTGGCTGGTCGCTTTGTCGGCACAGGTACTAGACAGCCCACCCTATCATATATATGGATGTTTTGAGTGAAGATCAGAAATTTGCAAATGCCAGTAGCTCCACAAATCGGGATCCACGCTTCGGCGCGAACCGTGATCATGCCAAGCTCGGGCATCTCGATTTCGAAAACGGGGACAAACACGACTACAGTCGAGCGTTTTCTCCAGATGAATTATTCTTAGCTTTGAGAAAAGGCAAGTGCTGTACTCTTGAACCCGGCGGTATTCGATACGAGATGATTAAACACCTTGACCAGGGAAATCCGGACAAGTTGCTAGAAGTGTTCAATGAGCTTGGGACGTCCAGAACGTTTCCAAACTCATGGCACTTTGTCCATGTAGTATCGATCCACCAGAGGGATAGATGCCCAACGAACACCAACTCGTTCCATTCGATTGTGCTCTCAAATTCTTTGTGTAAGATCATGAAACGTATGATGAAACGTAGGCTACTGTATTTTTGGGAAAATAATAACTTATTGAATGACCTACAGAGTGGTTTCCGCCAAGGTAGTTGCACATTAGATCACTTAATAAGTTTTGAAACAGACATTTCAAAGGCCCTATGCAATAAAGAAACATTTATTGCAGTATTCTTAGACACTAAGAAAGCCTACGACATGACCTGACAAACTGGCCTCATGATGAAGCTCCAAGCCATAGTTCTAAGGGGTAATTTCCCCTTTTTCATTAGAATTTTTTTGCAGGACAGAACTTTTTCCGTCAAATTAAAAAATAACGTAATGTCGGACACATTTGTCCAAGGAAACGGAGTTCCACAAGGTAGCTTCTTGGACCCTGTACTATTTCTCATAATGCTTAATGATTTCCTTTCACCAGCACCCAGCCTAAATAACCTCGAATTCTCATTGTTTGCCGACGATTGCACAAAGGATGATGGTCGGCCTAAGAGTTGCGGAAAAGTGGGCATTACAAAGGTTCTCAGTTGAGAAGACAGTAGAAGTGGTACTCCTTTTAAAATTCAGACCTCAATAAATTTCTCAGTATTCATTTTGACCGAAAATTAACGTGGCAAACCCACATTAACGACCTTAATAATAGATGCTTACAAATCACAAACATACAGAAAGTTTTATCAGGTACTACATGGGGAAACGATAGGAAATCTTTATTAATGGTGTATAAGACCCTGATCAGATTGAAACTCGACTATGGATGTCAGCTGTATGCATCGGCACGCGACATCACACTCGCAAAGCTGACCAAAATACAGAACCGATGCATTCGTCTATGTTTGGGTGCCTACAGCTGTACACTACAGTAGGGTGGTCCTTATTTTTTAACTTTGGATTGTT